AAAGCACCTGGCATTGGGAAGGAGGTTTGAGATGCAGATACTCATCCCCCACCCTTTCCTCCGACTCCCCTGATCCTCTTCCATGGTTCTCACCTCTCCATCCCACCCTGTCTTCTCTCCCCTTTGGTCTAGGTTAGCACAATGATCCTGGGCCCTCTAGCTGCCAGCTACTGCTGCTCCCAGCACAGGCACGAGGAGCTGCTGGCCTCTGATTAGCTCTCAGCAAGCAGGACTTTGGCCGCTGGAGGTCTTTGATTGCGTAGAGGGCCTAATTCAGTGCCTGAAAGGCACATGATTCCATTGGACATGACCTCCCCCGCTCACAGAGCTGGTGGGGCTTACCCGATGGGACCTCCTGCCCACTACAGAACCCTGCCCAGAATGTGCAGTTACCGAATCAACACGGACTACAGACTGGATCTAGGATCTTCCACAGCACCACATGGAGGATGAATCAGGGATAAATCCAAGTGCCCCTCAGTTCCATTGAAATAAGTGTGATAATTGGAGTGTGAATCTAATTTCCTGAGTGGAATTTATTGCAGTTGTGATTATGATAAGGTGGAGCTACTTTCATCATATTTTACTAACTGACTTTCATTGCTTTCTATTTTTAGGAGAAATTTGTTGCTGCTAAGCAATGTTTTCATACTGGTTGGTGCTTTGTTAATGGGGTTAAGCAGAGCAGTCAAATCCTTTGAGATGATTTTAATTGGGAGACTCTTTGCCGGAATAAACGCAGGTATCTTTTGTCTAACAATTTAAGATTGCATTCACACTGGTTCATGCAAAGTAATCATACAGGCATCAATGGAATAGCCCAGAATGAGATGGAGAAAGAAATTTCTCCAAGCCATTGTTGTTTTAGAAGTAATTTAAAGTTCAGCATTGACGTTTTGGAACCCCTTAACTATGCATCATTTTTTGTTTGGAAATACTCCAGCTGATCAAAGGTTCTGTACTTCAGCTCAATTGAGAATTATCTTTATATGGCGGCACGGTGGGTCAGTGGTTAGCACTGCTGCCTCACAGTGCCAGGGACCCGGGTTTAATTCCAGCCTCGGGCAACTGTATGTGTGGAGTTTGCACATTCTCCCCGTGTCTGCGTGGGTTTCCTCCGGGTGCTCCAGTTTCCTCCCACAGTCCAAAGATGTGCAGGTTAGGTGGATTACAGGGTAGGAGAGGATGGGTCTTGGTGGATTCTCTTTGGAGGGGCCGTATGGACTTGATGGGCCAAATGGCCTGCTTCCACCCTGTAGGGATTCTATGATAGTGACTGTTTACAGAGCCATCTGCATTGCCCTGTGCTCGTCAGTTGCGGAACAATGTACTGCCTTAGGGTCTTGTGCTGGGAGAAACAAAACTATCATGTAGAATTTGGTCCGGTACTTGGCACAGTTTGGGTATAATTAGTTATGTTGGCTTCAGAAGAAGTGGAGAGCAGAATCATTTGGGTTTTGCCCCAGTGTTCTCCATCCTCTGACTCTGAAATAGCACATCTGAATGGTGAGCAAAGATCTTCCCCTCCCCAGAGTTAAAGTGTCTGTCGACTCACGGTCTTCAAGCTCAAACTCCAAGAACAGGCAGCATTTAGAATAGAGCTGCTTCATTATTCGGTAGTTTTGAGAGAGCTGTGGATAAATGAAGGCAGAGGGACAAAATGTAAGCACCACTATTTAACATAAGGTGATGCCCAAACTATAATCCAGTACATTATAGATCAGGGTTATAGGCTGCATTAATGCACTGTTATGGACAAAAATGGATAAAAATGTCCAATTTCCTTATCCTTTCATGGGATGAGATTGTCATAGACAAGGCCAGCATTTGTCCATCTTTAGTTGCCCTTGAGAATGTGGCGGTGAGCTATGTTTTGAATCTCTGCTGTCCATTGCTACAGATTTGTTTATCCCTTTAATCTTGGCTCTCACAAATTCCCTTTTCATTTTGCTGTGAGGTGTGGGAATGAACATTAACCCCATGTATCTTGGTGAGAGTGCACCAAAGGAAATCCGAGGCATGGTGGCCCTGTCGTTTGCTCCATTCACTGCCGCTGGGATAGTATTGGGACAGACCATGGGACTTGGGTGAGTCATGTTTCCTCCTCAGTGAAGATAACTGTGCATTCTAGAGATTAAGGCTTTAGTGTAAGTTTGTTTCGTTTTCACTTGTTCCCACAGGAGGCGGGTTGTTGTTGTAATGAAACCTGACCTTCCATCTTGTGCACATTTCCAATATGTAGACAATACCTTTGCATTTTTTGCATCTACAGCTGTGTGTAAGGATTTTATTACATTCGTTGTCTGTCTCCATCCAATGCTTAAATTCATTTTTGCAATCAAGCAGCTGAATGTACTCCCTTTCTTCGACGTGCCATTTGAGAAAACTGTGATTGGTTTCTCCACTCTTGTCTACCCTAAACCTATCTTCAGCGCTCGGTATGTTTTTATCAGGATTGGCGTGATCAGTCAGGCCCTAGCCACTTGCTCAGGTGGTAAACTTGATGAAGAAAAGGAATATACCAAAACTATCCTGCAGGACAATGTTTGTCCTGATCAGCAAGGATTAAGGAGATTTGCAAATGGGCAAAGCCCACCACCATCAGACCTGGAATGTGCCTGGTCACATTACTCCAGGAAGGCAAAGCACTGTAAATTAAAATATTGAACACGTTAAGGTAGCCATTTCATGCTGCTGCTGTGCAGTGGTTACATGAGTTGGGGGGGTATTACATTCAGTCCAGAAAGACTTTTTGCCTAACTTACAATCCTAAAATAATCACTAAAACTCAAAACGTGGCTCATTTAATCTTGGTAGAAACAACCCGTGTTCACACACTGGGTCCCATTCTCCACAAATAGAAACAATATGTTCAAGAAATGTGTCTCTTTTGAGTTGCTTGGGATTTCTGCATGGCAACGTCTTGGCCAATCAGATTCACATCAGGTTTATGGGAAGGCAATGCCATAACGGTAATATTATTGGACTAGTAATCCAGAATCCCAGGCTATTGTTCATGGCTTCAAATCCCACCATGGCAAATAGTGAAATCCAAATTCAATATAAATCTGTAATTAATTAGTCTCATGGCATCCCTGTAACCACTGTGTATTGTCTCATGTGTCACTGTGTAAAACTCATCTGATTCACTGATGTTTGCTAGGGAAGGAAATTTGCCATCTTTACCTGAATGGTCTACTGCAGATCCACAGCATGGCTTTGCTTGACCTCTGGGAAAATTAACAATCAATACTGGTCCAGACAATGACACGAGCATCCCACGAATGAGAAAATATTCAACTTGTCCTTCAATCAACATCCTTTTCTCCTGCAGTGTAAATTGCTGTGTTTGTTTGAAATGTGGTATTCTTGTGTTTGTCCTGATGAGTGCAAGACGTAAAGCTTTGGTAACATGCCATGTTTTAATCTGTTATTAATTATACATCAGGCAAAGTAATATCTATTACTTAAAAAAATCCCAGTTAAAGGTAGTGGTGTGATTGAATACGAAATATGAAAGATCCTTTTATTTTGTACATTCACCTCGGATTGGGAAATGACACAGAGCGATAGCTGCACCTCGCTGTCACTTACATACAGGAGTTTAGTATTCATTCCCATACCTCTGAACAAATGACAAAGGGAAGTTCCATGATTTACAGTCAAAAGGCCAGACAGATCTGGACATTCTTATTTTATACAGGACTGTGATTCCTTTCTGGGTATCTGTTATACTCTTGATAAACTATTTGAGGTTTGTTTAGATCCATGTCTCTATTTCACTATCAGGTTCTTATTATTCTAACACCAATACCATCGGAACCTAGTTTTTATGCTGCATACTAACTATAACCCATTGTAGGATATCCATTGTTTCTGTTTATATTTCAGAATACGTTTTTAATATGTTCCTGTTAGTGCAATGATGTGCCATTATTCCTGGTGTTACGTCAATAACCATCAGCACATCTATCTCTACAGTGTAAAAATTGTTGCATAGAAAAGTATTCTCCATACTTGTTATTGCCTGTTGCATGATATCTGTATCATCTCAGTTTGGTTATTTATTATTGAATAGTATGGTAACGGTAAATGTCATGCAGCTGTCGCTGTGAACCAGTTCTTAGTCAGAGGTGAATGCTTTCTAGGAATGGAAAGCAAGAGGATCTTTTGATGCCTTCACATTCAATGATCAACCTGACTCCTTTATCCTGTACCTGGGTTTGTGATAGGATCTGTATTGTATTTACTGCTCACAGCTGATAGCATGAAGTACAAGGTGTAATCTTTAGGAAATGAAGTCATTTCCTCATGCTAATTACAGAGAGATTTTAGGCACTGAAGAATTGTGGCCTTTGTTACTGGCGTCCTGTGCAGTACCATCTCTGATTCAACTCCTCACTCTGCCATGGTGCCCAGAGAGCCCCCGCTACCTGCTGATTGACAGGGAGAACAAGAACAAGTGCATGAAAGGTAAGCGAGTCACAGAAGGAAGAATGAATACTTTTTGCGCATTGGTTCAGAGTTTTTGGGAGTAGCTAGAGTTGATGTTCTCTAAGTGATTACACCAAGCAGGCCTTTCATTATTTTAAAACACAGAGCTATTTGTATTTTCTCTGCTCAACTCTGCTCTGTAAGTGTTCTTTCCCCAAAACCTCTGTCCAAAGGGCCTGTAGCCCTCTGAATTCCCACTTGAGTGTCCATCAGTAAAGTCACCATAATCCCAGAAGACCATAGGGTTGCTCTGTCATTGCAGAGAGACAAGTGACTGTGGTTTAACTTGAGGGTCACCACGCCTTTGGGGCAGGAGAGAGGCTGAGAAGGAGGGACCTTCATGGTAACCTCGTCCGATGCAGGAATGGAACCCACGCTGTTGGTGCCAGTTGTCTTCACGTACGCAGTTTGCCATTCTACCTATCAGTCATCATCTCATCCTGATGTAAACTTCCTTTTTTAAATCCATACAGAATCCTGCACATTCCTTGATAGTCAGGGTCCTCTGGACATGTTGGTTCCACTTTCAGTTTCACAGGGACCTGTTGGCCTGCACACAGTCTACACTAGCAAGCTGCTTAGGAAGCACAGTCACACCTTGCAGGATGCAGCAGGGATAGTTTGCGTGCACGGAGTTAACGTTTTGGGTCCGGTGACCCTTTCTCAGAACTGTGACCGAAGGGTCACAGTTCTGAGGACGGGTCTTTTTTTTTTTTTTTTTTTTTTTTTTTTCTCCTTCACAAATGCTGCCAGACCTGCTGAGCTTTTTCAGCAACTTTGTTTTTGTTCCTGATTTACAGCATCCGCAGTTCTTTTGGTTTTTAACTGTCACTAATGGTGTGTTGAGGTGTTCTTTAATGCAGGCAGGCTGCTTCTCATGCTTATCACCTGGGGATGGAGGAGGATAAGAAGGGACATCTTGGTGAATAGCACAATGAGATGTCAATGTGGCAAACGTGCTACACATTTATTCAACCAAAAGGCTACGTCAGCAACTTCTCAGTCCAGTCAAAATAGGGACTGCTGTTAGTCAGAGGGTGCGGGTACTGTCAGCCACGGGCACAGCCTACACACAGTCCACTGACTTTGTCAAGGTCACTCGTCTGCTTGGGACTCTGATCGTCAGGGACTCTGTCCTCTGCCAGTCCAAGGTATGCTCAGTGGTCAATCCTGAAAGACCAGCACAAGCAGTCTGGGGGCTCACAAATTCCCAGACGGAGAGTTGCAGACACAGGCGTGTGGTCAATCATGCCTAGAGGCTGCTCGTTGAAGATGGTCACAGGTCTAGGTCTAACACAGTCCGGGGATTTTGTCCATAGAACCTTCAGAAGGGTTCAAAGTGGAGTATGTAGGGATGGTGGGGTGAGTTACTGCCAGCACGGCTGGGGAAATCAATGCCAGGAGCAAGAAAGCAGGGGCATTTGCAGAGGTGGGGATAAGGACAGTGGCAGCTGGGAAACTCAAAGTGAATTGGGAGGGAGGGGTAGGTAGAACAGAATTGGAGAGCACGGTGAGCCATGAGATGATGTTTTATTGGCAATTTTCGACTTGCCGTTGGAACTTACAAATTGAATTTGAATATCTCAATAACATGGAAGTTAGCAGCAATGATGTTTCAAAAGGCCACTACTGGCCGAAGGAAAATCACTGTTTGTCCAACCTCCAAGGACGTGCGAGAGCCACACAACATCACTTCCTCATCTGTCATGTAAGAGTAACAATGGTCTGTACCGAATGCAGTGAGGAGTAAAATGCTTGGAGTGGGAAGGATGTCAGATCGCTGTCAGCACTCATAGAGAGTCATACAGCGTGGAAACAGACCTTTCGGTCCAACCAGTCCACGCTAACCATGTTCCCAAATTAAACTAATCCCACCTGCCTGTACTTGGCCCATGTCTCTCCAGATCTTTCTTATTTATGTACTTATCCAAAATTTCTTTTAAACATTGTAACTGTACCATCTTCCTCTGGAAGTTCATTCCACACATGAACTACTCTCTTTGTGTAAAAGAAAAATGCCCCTCATGTCCTTTTTAAATCTTTCCCCTGTCACTTTAAAAATATGCCCCCTAGTATTGAAATCCCACACCCTAGGGAAAAGACACCTGCCATTCACCTTGTATATACCCCTCATGATTTTAAAAACCTCTATAAAGTTAGCCCTCAACCTCCTTCGCTCCAGTGAAAAAAGTCTCAGCCTATCCAACTTCTCCCTATAACTGAAACCTTCCATTCCAGGCAATATCCAGGTAAATCTTTTTTGAACTCTCTCCTGCTTAATAATATCATTCCTATAACAGGGTGACCAGAACTGGAGACAGTACTGTCCTTTTCTGTGATGTGGTGGTCACTCAGCAAACACAGCACATTTGCCAAGTCGCTGCACAAGCTGAGCCTGAATGTAGATGGATGATGGAGACGTGTCCAGTATGTTTCACTGTGTGGAGAAATGTGCTCAGCCCTCATCTGCAGGACAAACCACCCCTGACTATTCTGACAGCTAAGAAACTCTTGTGTTCCTTCTATTCCCAATGCACATCTTTTCCATTGAGAGCCATGGGCCCTGCCCTCGATTGCAGTTTGGTTGCTGTGGCTGCCTACCTAAGAAAGTGAGAACTGAAACAGGAGGAATGGGGCCAATAGCAAGCCCAGAGCAGTAGCAGGCCAGTGCAGAGGACTAGGTCACAGCTACAGGCCCAAAAGGATGCATCGGGTGCAGAGGAGCCCCAGAGTTTTCTGGCCCCACTCTATTTCCTAGGGGTGAGTGAGGTGCAGTGTCCACACAGACCCCATATGTCCTGGGACTGGCAGAACTTTGCTGGATGCTAGAAGGCTGCAGCAGAGGGAGGTCATCCTTTCCTTACAGATCTGAAAATCACTGCTGCTGTGAACATGTATGTTTGGGTGTCTCCCCACCAGGGAGTGATGGGAGACCTGTGTGGGATCTCTCAATGGTGCACCGATAATGCATCAGGATGGTGACCAATGCCATTTCTGTGAGGTCACACCAGCTCGTTTTGATTACGAATGCGGTCAGTGCTGCAGCCTGGTCAGGAGGGTTCGGGAGCATAGCTGGCTTCCCCCAGGTGCAGGGTGCCAAGGACTGCACACACGTGGCACTGATACATACACTGACACGTATCACAACTCTCTGCATTTCATCAACGGGAAAGGGTTCCATTCCATGAACGTTCAGGTAATCTGTGGAGATGTGTGCCCACTACCCTGGCAACTGCCACGACTCCTACATCCTGAAGCACTCTCGTGGACATGGTGCGTTTGACAGTCTGGGTGCCTTTCAAGGCTGGTTATTGAGGGCAAGGCTACTCTCTGTGACTGTGGTTCACGACACTTCTGTGCAACCCCTGACTGATGCAGCGCGCAAGTTTAATGATGCCCACCCAGGACCATGGTGGACCAGAGTGTAGGGCTGCTGAAAATATGGTTCCTCTGCTTGGAATGCTCTGGAGTTTGGAAGTATTGTCCAGACAGAATGTGCCACATCATCCTTTCGTGCTATGCCCTGCACAATTGGAGCTGGCAATGAGGCAACGTGCTGGATACTGAGGAACTGGGGGAACAGGAGCAGTCGTACAAGGAGGAGGAGGACAGCATGCACATTAGTCAGAGGAAGCTGTCATTGTCTGCTCAGCTGTATCGGGTGTTACAAGCCAGACAGAACCTCACTGCAAACCCCCCCCACCTCGTTCCCCCAATCCCCCAATCCCAATTCCAATAGATTTGAGAGCTGGGTGAAGCAGGCAATTGTTGACTGTAACATAATCTTTAATCATTGTGCATTGTGGGAATGAACTTCAGCCTCAATTGGATTTTTTTCTTTTCCTTTTGTCTGGCTATAAATAAAAGTTCATGTTTATACTTACTTGCCTGTATAATGGACATGGGGGTCAAGGTAGCATTGACTGAGAGGGTGTTCAGTTTTTGGGTGACACTAGTCTTTCAAAGATGGCATGGGAACAAGGGTCACTGGCCTTTTGGCAGATATCCACTGAGTGGCAAGTTGTTTGAGGAAAGTAGGTGGTAAGATGGGGCTGTAATTGGACGTGTTGGATACCATAGGGACGTGATAGGTAGTTAGCCAAGTCTGGTAAGCTATGGTGAGAAAACACTTTAGACATTGTGGTGAAAACCCTGCAAATAAACTAAACACAATTTGGACTTGGCCGAAACAAAAGAAGGTTCAGCCCAATGAGTCTTTCTTTCTTGCTGGGATAAATCTTTGCTGAGAGTTACTAGCTCTTCTTAGAAGTCTGTCACTGTATCTCTAGCGTCCTGCCTTTTGACCCAGGCCACCAGTTTACTTTAGCTAGCTCTGCCTTCGTACCCTGTCTTTATTTAGATTTAAAATACTGATCTTAGACTTACATTTCTTCCGTTCAAACTGAATGTGAAACTCTATCATGTTAACGATAGCTGTGACCTACAGGTTGCCCTACCTTAAGGTTATTGTTTTAAAACTGGCTTATTACCAGTCTAGAATAGCTGCTCCCTGGTCAGCACAACATTGTACTGCTTTAAGACATTGTCCTGAATACAACTGTGTGAGCTCATTTCCCAGACTATCTTTGCCAATCTGATTTGCCCAATTTATCCACGTTTATTCCAGTCATCTTCTTACATGCCCTATTTCTTTCTTTCTGTGTATTCTATCCTACATTGTAACCCCTGTTATGGGTCCTATAAGCTACTCCTACAAGTGAACAAGTTATCTCTACTCAACTTAATTCTATAATGGTGTTTTTTTGAGCTAAGGTTATCTCAATGGCATTCTTAACTAATGGAGCATTGGAAAATGCTGAATTTGGTATAAGGAGGCTTAGCACTGCACTTAGAAAAGCATTATATGATTAGAATGAATCAATATGATTTTACTCCTGGGAAATTCTGTTTGTCAAATTTATTAGTACTCTTTGAGGATGTAACCAGTTGGGTAGAAAAAGGTGTCCAGTAAATGTAGT